TGGGCGAAGCGTAACGTTGCGGTGCAGAGTTCCTGTGAAGAGTTGCAGCAAAGTGTTGTGGTACAAATTTGCGGCGAAGAGTCGTGGCAAAGTGTTGCGGTGCAGATTTGCGACGAAGTGTTGCAGTGCATATTTGCAGCGAAGTGTTGCGGTGAAGAGGAAAGTTGTCCCCGTCCTATTTCCCCCCGCCCTGCGGAGCAGGCAAGCAACGAGATTTTTTTTCTCGTTGCAACAAAGAGGAAAGTTGTCCACGTCCTGCGTAGCGGGCAAGCAACGTGATCATCTTTCTCGTTGTGGCGAAGAGGAAAGTCGTCCCCGTTCTGCGTAGCAGGCAAGCAACGGGATCTTCTTCCTCGTTGCGGCGAAGAGGAAAGTCGTCCCCGTCCTGCGTAGCATGCAAGCAACGGGATCTTTTTGCTCGTTGCGGTGACACGACGCGTTGCGGGGAAGAATCGTGGCGATGTGTTGCGGCTTGATGACGCCTTGTGGCGGTGCGTTACGACAACACGTTGGACAGAGCATCGTGGTGGTGCAACACATTGGATGTCTAATTCCACGTAAGAAGGCTACCTTGGAGATAAATCGTCAGTGTCCTTTGACTAGACTGGGGTTATGCATCATAATATTAGTTGATGATGTTATTTTGTATGAGAGGAGCCAACGAAAGTCCACTGAAGACTTATTAACCCATCCGAGGTTGTTTATGGAGCATTGCTCGCTCATGAACCTGTGTGGAAGGGATCATGTGTAGTCCACTAAGGACTGTTAATCTGTGAAATCTGTGAAGGGTTGTTTACCGGAGTTAAAACTCGACGATGTTAACCCATACGGAAGAGGTTAGATCAAATCCCATTGGGATTGATCATGCTCTGACTAAGGTACAACCGAAGTTGTGTATTTCTCGGGTTAAGAGCATGAGATAACTCGCTGATGAGCCCTTATACTTTATAAAGATATTTTTATGTATAGGAAAGTAATTGAATAATACTTAAGATACACTTATTATGCATGAGTTGCGATGTAATAACATATGTGGATTACATGACTGGGGTATTACTAATAATACTTGCGAAGATTTTCTGCATTCCAAGTCCGGGGCAGAATTTTCCCATTTGAATCCTTGAGTTTGAAAGTTCCAGGCTTGATCATGGTAGCCACGATATATGGGCCTTCCCAGAGAGGTGATAGTTTATTGCGTTGGGGACCATGACCGGCGGATTCAATGCTACGCAAGACCTGGTCACCGACGGAGATAGGTCGAGGTTTGACTCTTCGGTTGAAGTAGCGAACAACTCTTTGGCGGTAGGAAGCAGTTCTGAGGTGGGCTACATCACGTATTTATGGGAGAAGATCCAAATGTTGTCGGAGCTTTTCTTCATTTCTTTCCGAGTCGAAAGTCTTGACTCGGGGGTTTGGAATTCTGATATCAACGGGAATGACAGCCTTGGTGCCGAAACACAGGTTATATGGAGTTTCTCCAGTTGGAGTACACGCAATTGTGCGATAGGCCCAAAGGACGTTGTGCAGCTCTTCTACCCATTGCCTCCCAACCTTCTCAAGTCGAGTTTTCAATCCTTTAAGCACAGTACGATTCGTCACCTCTATTTGTCCATTTGTTTGAGGGTGCGCCATAATAGTGTGCACCAACTGAATGTGAAGATCCTTGCAGAATGATGTGAAAACTCTTCCAGTGAATTGAGTCTCATTATCAGTGATAATCTTCGCAGGAAGCCCAAAGCGACAGATGATGTTTTTTCAGATAAACTGTTTTGCATTTGCCTCAGTGATCTTTGCAAGCAGCTCTGCTTCTACCCATTTGATGAAGTAGTCAACAGCTAGGATGATGAATTTTTGTTGTCCAGTAGCTATCGGAAATGGCCTCATGATATCTACTCCCCATTGAGCGAAAGGCCAAGGACTTAGAAAAGAAGTGAGTTCCACTGGTGGTGCATGTGTAAGATTGGAGTGTAGTTGACAATTTTTACATTTTTGCACAAACTCTAATGCATCTTGTTTGATCGTGGGCCAGTAGAAGCCTTGCCTCATTATTTTAAGAGCAAGTGCCTTGCCACCAAGATGCTCCCCACATATTCCAGAATGAACTTCTCGAAGAGCATAATCAGCTTCAGATGGAGGAAGACACTTGAGATATGGACCTATAAATGTCTTCTTGTAGAGTTCATCCCCTACAAGGATGAAGTTGCCCGCCATGCGTCGAATGCGAATTGATGTCGTAGCATCATCTGGCAGTGTTCCGTCTTGAAGGAAAGAGATGATAGGATCCATCCAAGATGGCTCCCTTGGGTCATCTATAGACAGTATCTCCCATGGGCCATGGATGCTAGGAAAATGTATCTCCTCAATATACCTCCTTTTATAGAGATCTCCAGTTGTTGAAGTCGCAAGCTTGGAGAGAGCATCAACTCGGGTGTTATGTTCCCGAAGTATATGAATGAGCTGACATGTTTCAATTTGGGCGAGAAGTGTTTTTACCAGATTGAGATATTGCACTAGTTGTAAGTTATGAGCGTCAAATTCTCCTTATATTTGGGATGCAATA